GAAGCGACGATAGTGAATAAATGCACAAATATTGAATTTACATATTTTATTTTTTATCTAACTACGACATTTAATTTCTCAGAAACGGATTTTCTTATTTTATTGTGAATAACATTAACTTCTGCTTTCGTAAGTGTACGTTTCTGATGCCTATACATTATAGAATAACAATGAGATGATCTCTTCGTTACAGGATCCACGTATGTATCGTTTAATATGATTTGTTCAACGCTATCACCACCGATATCCCGTACAAGGTCATAAAACTTATTCGATGAATAACTACCATCTTCGGGTAACCAAAAACTTATGTGATTTATACAATGTGGATAAATGCTAACCTTCTGCAAGCAATACATTCGATTACTGATGATTTTCTGACCTTATGTATATTTTAAATATCCATATATATTCCCTTTTTACCTTGTACTTTACCACTGTATTAGGATCTTCAAATTTGAATTGATGTAAGAAGCCCGTATCGTTACTCCAAAATAATCTGATATCAGGAATATCGTATAAAAGCATCGCTAATCTTTCTAAACCCAAACCAAAGGCCCATCCAATACGGTCTCCTGCTCCTGCTTTTTGTAGAATTTCTTGGCGTATAATTCCACACCCTAATAATTCAAGCCACTGATTATTGTAATAAATTTCTAATTCCCATGAAGGGTGGGTAAAGGGAAAAAGCTCTTTCACCCATTTGTATTCAATGTCTAAAAATAAAAATTATGTTTTATTCGTGTGATCGACTATTTCTTTAAGGGTATAATTACCTTCATACCTTGGCCAAAAAGAGTCTGTGCTAACCCAGTTAAAGTATTCTTTAATTCATTTTCCATTATTTTTACAGATTCCAAAGTATGGTAACTTTGCTTTTCACTACTTTCTATACCTTTGTTTTCAAACAACATTAATTTCTCAAAATTTGGTGTATCTTGAAATACTTCTTCTTTCGTACATATTCTTACACCATCTACTTGATGAAAAACAGGATAATGCACCCTATCTATTTCGTCTCTTCGATAAACATCTCCAATGACAAGAAAGTTATTTAATCCCATAGAAATTAGCTCTACTTGATGCGCAGTTGTATGTGCTCGTAATAAAGTATCTTGATTTATATAATAGCAATCTGTTTTGCTTCTACTCTGATGATCTTTTGGTACAAGAAGAGAATCAAAATTTTGAGTTGTCGTAACTATAGGGGACATATTGTCGTAAACACTAAATATTACGTTTCCAATGCGATTATGAAACTGCATATAAAAGTAATCCACAATGCGTTGACGAACATGAGATAATGGATGATACGGTGTTACATGCAAGTTTTTTCCTACTTTGGAAATAATCTGTTTAGTGATATTTGTCCATTCGTCTACTGGATAGTCTTGACCAAGTAACGTTACTTTATTATTTATTCTGATTTTCTTATTTGTAGAAACACCTCTATGCATTAAGAAGTTTACGTTACTACATCTGACATGTGTACATGTTTTGAACCTAAGGGATAAAATATTATGTATAAAAATTTACAATTATTTAGTATCGTTGCATTTTACTTTAGTAGACGGTAGATCACTTAATAACCTTGATATCATGGTGAAACAGTAACTCATATTTATTATGAATGGTAATAAACGATTCTGTATGTTACGATATATAATTATTATGCAAAGAAGAATATGCAAGAAATTTCGCTTATAAATTCCAAACAGGAGATGCAAATATCAAAATATCATTCTTCACGCGTCATATACTACCCGCGTATCTTAAGTTTGTACCGATACAAAAATCCTAAGAAAACGAAATCATAAACTGTGCGTCAAGTTCCTGTAAGATGTCGCCTTGATTAACTCCCAAGCGAGATCTCGTCTGTGGTTAACCTATGATATACCCTAAACAATGGCTAGTCGCAAACATGCAGTTCTGAGTCTCTATCGGGATTTGATCCGAGAAAGTAAGAAATGGAATTCATACAATTATCGGTAAGTGTGAATTGTGTGTGCAATAAAAAGGGTATGATATAAATTATCATTTCGCATTTTCCTTCTTTCACGATGCTTTACCGTAGAGCATTTAACGTCGATAACAAAATAACCATAAAATTACATTCTGCACACTGTATAGAGTTATACATATAGATCTGTTGTTTTTTACTGTACTGTAGGATGTACGCTTTACGCAAAATCCGGCATAAATTTCAAGAAAATAAAATACTGACGGATCAAAAAGAGATTACCGAACAATACGAGGAAGGAAAAGCAGCGCTGGAAATGATTAAGAGACAAGTGATTATCGGAAACCTTTATACCACCAGACCATTAATTATCGAAACAGTTAAAAATAAATCTAACTTTATTTGAAGAATGAAGAAACTATTTAGACAACATGTATCAATAAAATCTAACTAATAAATTATAATCTTGCGAAAAGATTTAGAGAAAGAAGTTGTTTGAAAGAAGTCCCCTGAAAAGAATGCGAATCTCATTGGTCAGCTTGCATCTATTCTCGTCTAATTTTTGGTAGCAATTTGCTATTCGTCGATACAGTTACACACAGCGTGGCCAGGGAGAGGGTAAACTACTGTGTTCCCCTCGATGTCGCGAGTCTGACCGTGTACTTAGTTACACAGAACCAATCAGAACCAGAAACAAAATCCCTAGCGAAAGACCCCTGTTGCCTCTGTGCTGCCCCGTGGTGGTGGTTGATCTCGTGAACAACGCAGAGTACAAACGTTGCAGCTTATGGACAGCTTCCGTCTAGGGCATCCTCCAAACAAACTTTGGAATTATGTGGACGTTCGTTGAAACGTGCAAGTAGTATCGATTCGTAGGAATTTCGAGAGAAGCAAAATCTAGAACGATGTTCTAATAATACGGAATGCCGTACAGAAACATTGCTACCACGAATCTACGACTGTACGTCGCGATGTAAGAGGGAAAAATTTCCACTGGTTGTCCTCCGACTGTTTTACATTGGGCGGTGAAATATTTTGCCTGTCGGTCTATATAATACGATTTAAACAGCATAAATATATGTACAACGAATAATCGAACATGTTACGAAGAAAATGCTGTTCGGGTTTTTGAATCGATCGTTAGGGATAAAGTAAGTTGAAAATGAAACATTCGTGTATTTGACTGATCAGCTGTTTTCGTCGATTCACAATGACAGATGGAGAAAATCCGAAGAGATAACGATGCGTGGCCAAGTGTTGTGAGGTATTGATAAAGAAGAGGTTTAAGAGAATCGATCAAAATGGCCATGAGAAATTTAACAGAGCCGTATATTTTTATGCGGAATAACGCTTTGCGAAGTAAACATTCGTACGCCGAACAGGTATGATAGGCATAACCTCGTAACGACGGAGAGTCTGTCAACGTGTAAACGTTCCGAATGGAACTGTAATGTTTAAATGTCGTCGATGTATCGTTTCAGAACCTGTCCGATCGAACGACATTAGTTGATCCGGATTTTGACAATTCGAACAACGTGGAACTGAGAAATGTCAATTTGGAGAATAACACATCGCCCATTTGGATAGACGCCTTGGAGGAAACGCAATACATTTTAAGTAGATTACGCGACAAAGTAGACAGTCTAAGAGATTTATATAAGAAACAATTGACTAGACCAACGTTGGATGATACTTCGCAGGTTTGTCAATGACACGAATCAACGTGGTACTCGTTATCGTGTCACTAATCGTGACTTGACGAGTCGTCGTACGCATAGCGGCGTTCCAAGCTCTCAGATCTCTACGTATTTTGATAATGTAATTGTCGGAGAGAGAAAAATCGTTAAAAACATGTCTGCAGGAAGAAAGGCAAATGGAACAACTGACGCGAGAAATTGGACGCGCATTTTCGAATGGTTACCGACAAGTGCAAAGTATAAAAACCGCGGCTAGGCATGCGACTAAAGCCGTAGAGCGTCAATTAGCGACGAGTGCGGTGTTGGCTCTCTCGGCTGCTTTGCAAGAGCTTGCTCTTCGATATGGATCTGCTCAAAATCATTATTTGACGCGTACGTATTCTGTAACGGCGTATCGATGCGAAATTGCTCGCACGTTACCGAAGATAGATCTTTGAATATGTTGGACAATTTGTTTACGACTTTAGAGATGAAGTCAAGGGAGGAGAGGAGCAATCAATATTTTACCGAAGACCAATCGATATTTTTAAATAATGCCACGAGCGATACATGGTTACTCGACTCTGGTCAAACAAACGTGGAATCGTGGTACGAGAACGAACACCATCAAGAGACTGTACTCGTACAGCTGGACGATCCGGGGGATAGAATGAAGTTTGCTCTGGAAAGGGAAGAACAAATTGGCAGCATAGTACAGAGCATAGCGGATCTCAGACACGTATTTAAAGTAAGAGACGTTACAAAGATTCTTTAGGATAGTTCTCCATAGAGATTTCAAGTAAGACGTTTTCCCTAAACAGGATTTAGCGAACATGGTGCAGGATCAGGGCACTATCTTGGATAGAATCGATTATAATATAGAACAGACACAAGTGCAAATACAGGAAAGTTATAAACAATTGAAAAAAGCGGACTCTTATCAAAGGGCCAATAAAAAATTGTACTGTATAGTTGTTCTTGCCGGAGCTATTATTCTGGTTAGTCTTCTTTTCGTTGTTTTTAAAACGTAAGGCGTAACCTTTGAATGGTCGAGTCGTTATTGGTTGGTGTTTCTCGAAGGAGAATGTGGTTTTACTCTATATTTTGCACGGATCGCAGTATTTGACCGGAACGACGGTAAATACAGGAAATACAAGGCGAGCATAAAAATAATAGTTGGAAAATAGTCGAAAGAAAGTTTTCATTGGCGTGTCACCGTGCGCGTCCGATTCGTGACGCGCGTATTCGTGTTACACTTCTCACTTTCTACCAGTTGAAATGTTCATTTAGTTTCAAAATACAATAATTTATATGGTAATAAAATATATCGTAAGTACGGCGATAGGAGCCATTTTCATGAATGAATTCCTAAATAAAAGAGAAAAGATTCGCGATCAAGCTAAACGCTTTTGTGTAAATGTTATCCTCCTTCTTTAATAAGAGAAAAGTATTTAAGTAAAGGCACGTACGAACATTACAATTCTACGCATTGTTAACGTAAATATCGTATCGCATTCAATTGACTCGAAAATGTGTTAATAAATGGAAAGATCGATAAACGCAATATTCTGGTTTACGTGATCTGCGATATTTTAAGGTATGAGTAACGTTACGAGATAGCTTTACCTCTAAAAGTACCTTCTTCTTATCATTGATCGTGTTCGACCGCGTCTACTCAATGGACGCGTTATTCGACTATCTAAGGGCTTTGTACATAGATTGAGCATTTAAAAAAATACTACCCTGTAAAGAGTACAATCGAATCCCTTGTTTTCGTCTATCTATGTATCTGTAGTACGATACCTCTATTATGTGTATCTATACGGGTATCTCTATGTCATCGATCGCGCCTGCCGTCGCGATCATGGTCATGGTCATGATCGCATTCGCGAACTGTAACGAGTGAAAGATGAACGATCAGCGGTGAATATCGAAGGGCAGCCTCAGGTGGTGGATCTCCTCAACGTATGGACTAAAATTCCGAACGCTCCACCAAGTATGTAACGCACAAAGTTATCGCCGACCAACGGACCCAGAGCGTAAAGACCGGATCTCGGCGCCTTGATCACCTCGTACGTGAAATCGTCGACCTCTATCGGGTTCGATTTGCAGTCGATAGGTTTATTGGCAACTTTTCCGAGACCGACGCCGCCAGCTTCCAGATAGGACAAGTCTGGTTTATAGCCTGTAAATAGATGCTTTGTCGTCGTTATCGCTTTCGCCTACGCCTTCGCCTACGCCTACGCCTTCGCCTTCCCCTTCGCCTTCCCCTTCGCCTTCCCCTTCGCATTCGCTTCCGTGCCGTCAGACTGCCGATGACACGGTCGCGAGATACTTACCGATCAATATGGCGACGATCGAGACGCGGAAGGTGCAGACGCGACCTTCCGGGGACGAGAGCGTGGCGGTTCGCAGTTCGGACGCGGTGTCCGCGATGCGATCGTTCCCGTTTACGCACAACTCGCGCAGCGTGTATCCCGGCAACGCTCTGTACAGCGGATAATTGCTACCTCCGTCGGCCATCATCTCGTAAACTTTATGGTACTCGGGGTACATGGAACTGGGCAGACCGAGCAGTTTCTCGTACTTGACGCGCTGCGGCTTTTCGTCTTCCGACTTCGCCCAATCGGTGGTGGTGTCTCGGAACGCGTGCAGCACGGGTATGCCTCGGAAACGAGCGGCCATGATCGCGTCGGCCGCGCTCAGACCACCGCCGATCACGAGGACGGGTTCGATTCGTTTCGCGGAATGCTCGTGCGAAACGGAATCGTGGTGGCCGTTTTTCAGCTGGAACGAAGACGGATCGGCACGGCTCCAGGGAAAACCGGAGTCGATGTTCGTCCGTCGATCGAGCAGTCGATCGAGCAGTCGATCCAATTTCGACTCGAGATCGTTCAGATAGTGCGTGACCCACTCGGGATGCGCGTCCTCGCCGGGCACGCCTAGCCGATTCGGCGAGTCTGTGCTGCCTGTGGCAAGGATCACCGTTTTGCATCGATATCTGAACGGTTTTCCAGTTTCTGTCTCGAATCCCTCCACCGTCCATCCGTACCGTGCGTCTTCTCTCACGGAAGTGACCGTGGTCCCGCTGCAACACCATATTTAGTTTCGCATTACACGCGGAACGAACTAAACAGAGGAGAAATCGCGCAAGATTAAAATTGCCGGATCGGTCGATCCATCGACTGACTGCTCTGGCTGGACGGACGGACGGACGGACAGACAGACAGACAGACAGACAGACAGACGGAGCAACGAAAAACTCAACGGAAAACTCAACGAACACGAACCATCGGAAGTACTCTTTCAATCCTTTTCTCTGTACGTAGTCGTTGTAGTAGGCGGCCACTGTTCCGGCAGAGATTCTGCTAGCCGTTTTGCACACGGTCGGGTTCTCGTCAAACTCGTGCGCGTACGGTTCGCCGTCCGTCTTCCTGCTTTTCCAGAGCTGCTCGGACTCCAGCATCGTCTCCCACTGCCTGATATCCAGATCGGGCAGCGACATCCACCGATTCAAACTGATGGTCAACACGTTCGGATCCATCGACTGGAAAAGACACGCGGTGGTCGTCGAGCGATAAATGAAAAGCGGACGCTCGGTCGGGGGAGACGCGCTAAGGAAAAGCGACGCGGCGGTCGTTACCTGCCAAGTGCCGCCGGGCGGGCTCTTGCCGAGCACCACGTGGTCGATCGGTTTGTGCTCGGAATTCTGCTCGGCGGACTTCCACGCGAGAAGGGACGGCACGTCGAGGCCACTGTCCACGCAGGGATGTTGCAGCTGGTCCATCAGGAGAGCCAACGGCCGGCCGCCGACTCTGCCCTCCAGCCCGGAGGAGAGGCACTTGAGTTTGCGTCGCGTGCTGCGCGCCAAACACCCATCTTGGCTTTTCCTGTCGTACTCCTCCAGCCTGTTCTGGCCGTTGTTGCGTCTGTTGCCCGTTACGTTATTCCTCTCGGCTTCTTCTTCGCCGTGCGTAGTGGTCCAATGCAACCTAGCGGTCAACATCTCGTCCCCGGGATGCGGCTCGCCGGTGTAGTACGGCCAATTTCCAGCGAGCATGTAAGAAACGCATATACCGCTCGGTCCATTTCCTGAAAAATTGTTCCAAACGACAAACGATACGATAATCGGAAGAACGAATAATAGACCGATACATTCCCACCGCTATTGCAATTCCGCGCGTACCTATAATCACCGCATCCTTGTGGACGACGCCGTTTTCCTCGTCGTCGTAACAATTTTGCATTGTTCTTCTAGTTTCGTCAACTGTAACAAACGGCAACAACTCGTGAAAACTCGTGGAAACTCGTGGAACGCGAGAGCGACGATTTGAATAAAGTCCGGCTCGACGACAAACTCGGGAAACGTACGAGTCGACTCGCGATCGGCTCGGTGCATCGCGAATGCGGACGCGTTCGATAAGGAAGCACGATGAGTCGCGGAACGGACATTGCGCCTGCTTGTCGGAGATCGCGGAAAACTGCTAGATTTCAAACGTGTCGCGACATTGCGCAACAGATCTGTCGCGATGACGCGATAGAGTACTGCTGTACGGCACATTGCAAACTACGGCCGGTGTGTCGGTTATCGCGGCAAGTCGGAGTTCCGGTTCAACTTTTCCACGATAATTCAGTAAATTATACGTATGGCCACGTGTTTCCGCGGAAACGGCATTCGAACGAGCGCGTCTGTGACATCCCATCGACCTTGACCACCGTGACTCGCCGTTTAATAAACGACCAACCACGGCGATCGTCGACGCGATTATCTGCGTACGCGTAACGCGAAAGTCCGGTTCGATTTTGACAATAGCAGAGCTAATCGCTGAATCATCGACGATTTCGACACACGATCGCAGAAACGTGACTCGCAGAAACGGCTCTACGATATTCGAGATACGCGCGTATCGATCAAAGTGCCGTGCAAGTGGTACTCGGAGGCCGAGCATCGCATTATTCTTTCCACTCGTTTCGATAAGATCGAACAGTGTCGCGTTCTTTACGAGTAACGAGCACCGTCGTGTCGGTTCGACTATACCGCGCGCCGTCTTCGAAACGCGGTTTCGTCGGTTCGGATAATAGAATTGCGTTTACCTAACATAAGCACAGCTCGTCAAACTGGTAGAGGCGAGTGATTCGGACGCGGACGAAGATCGAGTCGGAAACGAAGGCGGAAACGAGAAGGAAGGCTCGTCGGCGAAAGGTCCTCGCGCGAGAACGGTCGGCGTCCTACTACGGCGGCCGTAAAGCGAACGGAATGAACACGGTATACGCGGTAGAACGCGTGCTTTGCCGTTCCATGGAAGAACATTCATACCGGGGAAGGTCACGATACACGAGGCGGCGTCATACTTCTGTCTCTTTTTCTAGCGCCTCGCGGGAAATTGTACAGGAAAACTGCTACCGTATCGCGTCGCGTCCTATCGATCTGTTTCGAAGGACAAACGCGGTTTCCTCGATCGTCGGTCGGGTTACATCGATGCTCGTCACATTAGGGACGGAGGGTTAGTTCCAACACACCGGCCTCCTTTTCCCGTTAACGTTATAATCGATCGGCCACCTAAACAATTGATGAGCAACTCGGGAACCGTACCAGTCGAAGCGTACGCAACGAAAGGTCGGGCCTCGAATCGGTCTGCCTTCTTTTCCTTTCTTTTCTTTTCTTTTCTTTTCTTTTCTTTTCTTTTCTTTTCTGTTTGCGTAATCTGGCGTTAAAAAGATCGGTTATGCCTTTCACTGTTCGTTTCGTCGACGGGTACAGCCGCGCTGAGCCGCGTTGAGCCGCGTTGAGCCGCGTTGAGCCGCGTTAACACACTTTTATTCGAGTGGAGAGTGTCGCGTGTTATCATTGATCTTTGTAGACGTTGCAAAGCTGCGCCACGCTCTTCCGTAGCCGCACTCTCGTTTTCTCCAAGATTCTCCTCTAGCCGAGAAATGAAATTACCCGTGCATTCCTCTAGAACCGTCGAACGATTTACGATTTACGGATAAATCGTTCGTTCGTCTCAACTCTGTTCGAGACTGGTCTAGAGTCGTCCTCTTCGTACCTCGACAAAGACTTACTCACTTTTCCTCGAGCATTTTCATTGTATTTCGTCGACGAACGTTGAAACGTCGAAACGACGAACCGCGCGAACTGCAACTCCACAGGATAGAAAACAACTGGACATCTCTCGAGCAAGGTTCAGCCGACGCGTGGTTTGCCAACGTGTTCCTCGAGTCCATGAAATTTCCTCCGACAAGCGAGAGGTATCGCGAGGAAACCGAATCTATCCATCGTCGAGCAATTTCATAGATCGATCTCCTCGATCCCTTGGCATTTCGGTTCTTCCTTCTTACCACGATTCTCTCTGATTCGTTCCCTATGCGATCGCCGTTACCAGACAAATTTCTGAATTTGATAAGGATTACGTAACTCGGGTCAAGCGTTCTTTTGGAAAGATGATGACACGTGCTAAAAATACAACACGCTGAATCGCTGGTGAATCGTATCGAATCGTATTCGTACGTATTCGTACGTATTCGTACGTATTCGTACGTATTCGTCGATTTTATCGCTTTCGTTCGTAATTGCGAGTAAACCCATTATTCTGCGAGTTCTTTCGGATCTAAACAATGCTCGAACGACGACGAGGCATTAGCGATACGAGAAAAACAACGAGTTGTCAGTCATTGTAGTTAATTTCCTACCGACACTAGAAACTGGACATTCGTAACTTAATAATGATAAATGACCGACAGGCAGAGAACACGATCGTTACGTCACTGCCGATATTATTTATGTTTCTTGGAGATACGAATAAATGAAATGACGCAAATTTCGTTACCTGTTTCACTTTCGGCCCATCAAAATGTCCCCTTTAATGTCGATCGCGAACTCCGATGATGCTTTTCGTCGCACAGGAATTTTGTCGAAGGATATTTCGGATATATCTACGACCATCGTCTATTTTCACGTAACTGCCAACACTCCAGGGCATTATTTGTAAACTATTTTCACTTAGTTGTCGCGAGAATTTCTGTCTAAAACCGTCCTGTATTTATCGATCCAACGACGTCTTCCGATTCCAATTTCTACGCCTATTTTTAGGTCTGACACAGGAATTTCTCCAGTTTCAGCCGTCTATCGGTTCCCAGTGAAATCGTAACAACTAATAACAGTGTCTGTAAATATCGAACGTTCAACTTTTCCACACCGGCACGCTTCGGGAATGTGTCCCAAATCTATCCTACGGAAGAGGTTAGGTTTTCGGTCTACCTACATATATAAACAGCATCTGACTGTTTACCCGCACCGAACAACACCCTACCATCCAACGATGCAGCCAGCAAACTATAACGAATGCATGCAACGATCTTCACCGAAACTTGAACGAATTCAATGAATTACAATCCAGTCTTTTTCGAATGGTGTTCTTTTCGCTGTTCTTTCGCAATGTTTCATTTGAATGTTCCGTAATCGAGCTGGTTATGTGTTGGTAAAATCGTCGGTACACACCTTCAGAGAGTTAAGGATCATTTGAATTTCTGGATGATCGATGTCCGTTAACGATTTCATCGGTCGTACGTTGAATCGTACCGATGAAAAACGCGTTCAAGATGAATTTCCCCGAATAACCTAATTAACGAGTACAACTGACAAAGCAAGGGAGGACGTAACGCCGCGTTTTCCCTTGCATTTTCGTTCGAATCGCCACGCTCGTTACGGCGGCTGAACATATTGGTACCAACTTCGCAGTATTACAAGTATCAGAATAACAGATTTCTGTTTTATCGGTCTTTTCGACATTATCGATTGTATACTTCGAATTCACTGAAAATCATTCACCTGGCGCGTGTAGAGATTTATTTATTTTCATTTCTGCTTATGATAAATAGTGATTGAAGAAAGAGTTAACAGCGTCTAAATAAGATATAATTGATCAATTGAGAATCCTCGGTAATTGTATCAGCGAGAATTAACAAGTTTTTGCTTTGGTATATTTTTATCATTTATATTTATATTTATATTTATATTAAACAAAATATTATTGGTCCATTCGAGGAGTTCAACGCGGCGTTCTCGATACGAAGCTACAAGCTATAAGATTTGTATAGATTTAATGTGAAAAGTTGAATCATTTACTCGATTTAATGAAAATATAGTTTATTGATGCTTACTCCAGTAAGAAATTTCTAATTTGGAAACATTCGATCCGCTGTGGATAAGGAATTATTTCGATTGAATTTCATCGATCGGCATCACTATCGATGACTTGAACTTGAAACGCAACAATTTTTCTAAACGATTTCTAAAAGTTCACGATTGCACATTAATCGTTGTGTAATTGAGTGGCAGGATCGGTAAGAGGTACATAAGAAACGTGCATGAGTTTTTTCTTTGTGATCGTGCCATCGGCATTTTTATCCACTTGCAGGAAATCCTGAAGCCTTTGGAATCCTTCTATGGTAACTACCGGACAAATTAGACGTCCTCCGACAGCTAATTGGTCTACCAACTAGAACAGACGATACATTTATTCGAAGCAGTCTATTATATTATATTACGATAAATATTTAGTCACTTGTCAGTTGTATCTAAATTTTTCAAACCTGCTGCGGTAAAACTTCTGCTGCTGCTCCAACGTGAATCGCGTTGTAGGGGCCATCGGCAGCGTGTCCCAATCTACCGTCTCCCACTAGGCGCATTTACAATGACTTGATGTTAAACTTTGGTCTATCTTTTTATATAACACACAGCAAAGTCACAGAATTGTTGAACAGAGTTCCTTTTGATTCTTCCTGATAAGGTACACTACCTACTCCACATGGGTGGATTAGTAGGTATTTCGCATTTGAGCGTATCTGTTATTCTTAAGCTCTTGAATGTATCAGATGTATTAATATTATAAAAAAAAAGAACAGATCATATCTTTCTCTTTCACCCGATATTATTTATTCGCGACTAAAAATTGAAACCTGGTTAAAATTTCATAATTACTTACCAACAAATTTAATACGGCCTTCTTTGAGAAAATGGGAGCAATCCTTCTGTACATTTTTCTTGGAGAACTCGATCAGTTCAGGAATGTGATCGATGCCGATCACACGACCACCCGCGCCTACCATAAATGCCATACACGCTGTTAAATAACCAGATCCAGAACCTACATCCAGCGCTTTCGCTCCCTCAAATAATTGATCGGTCAGGATGGACAATGCATTGGCATGCTGGAAGAAAGCGTTCGACTCTTTACAATTGTCCACCGCAGGATCTACGCGTGCTAGCGAAGTAAGACACGTAACAAAGATACGTATTCGGCTACCCAGATCCATCTTTGATTTGCTTACCATGTGAGGAGCGCTAATAGTTACATTAAATCCAATTCTTCTCGGTCGATCTAGGTATGGTTCCGGTTCGTGACAATAGTTTCCTCTATCTATAGCTAACATGGCTGCTTCTGCTTTGCTCGTTGCCAGGATGCCTGCTTCTATAAGAAAATATTTGTGAAAAATCACGTAAACGATTCACGTTCAATTTTTGTTCTGATTTTACCTTTTAGCTTAGCCACCATCTCTTGATTCGTAGATCCGCTGCAATGCCATGCCATGTTTTTCTGCAAAACTACTGTTCGTTGATGATCGAATAGTAACTTGTATAAAAGATTTATACAGAATATTTGGATCGACCGGTAGATTTATCAGTACCAAGATAGTCTAAATATCGTGTATCGTCTCTACGGCATGAACACTTTGCTATCGAATACCTCTGTGATTATATTTTACGTTTTAATCGACTAAATCAATGAAAGATAGTATCGGAAATTTAGTTTATCCCAACAGAGGGTTTATTGAGATTTAGAAACTTGTTGACAAGTGTGACCCTCGGACTCGCACATTCCTGATTATGGATTTCTGACAGTAAAACGATAATACGTAAAGAAAAGAGTAACTTGTTTTACGTTATCGGAAAGATGAGTGAAAAAAGTGGGAGGAAAATTCGATAATTTCGTTTACTCCACAAAATTGACATCGTTGGGATCGTACGGCCAACATGGCCGCGATTGATAAAGGATACAATGAGGATTGCGTAGGAAGCATGTACGATGGAATAAAATGAAAGAAACGTCTCGATATCGATTCATTTGAACAATTTAAGAACACTGATCGAGAGATGACACCAATTTGAAATGTAAACGAAGCACGACGTATTCGAAGGACGTTTTTACGAGGTTAAATACCTGTTTTGCTGTTATCCGGCCACGAGAGATACGTTCCGACACTGTCGCGCTACGCTCTGCGTGCATGTGTGAATGCACCAGGGATGTGTACGCCACCGCACAAGGGAGCAATATAGATCAAGTACCGTGCGAAGACAGCGAGCACCGTAACTAGGTAGGTAGACGAGTAAATATCATTTTGCTGGTTACGAATTGTCGACATACACGAATGTTATATATTAATTTATTAAATATTGCGTTCGCAAAGTTTCACGGAGATTTAAAGATCATAGACGCAAAGTACGGTATACATTGTTCCCGCCATTTCTGTTTCCAGCGTTTCATGGCTACTGGAAATTTCCTTGCTATTGAAAAATTGCAACGTTACGCGTGGCTACAGTATCTTTTGTTCGACGAACGAAAGTCTCGCATGAAAAGTTTTATCGTGTACGACGCGCAGGTACTGGCGCACTCGTGCATACGCGGGGGTTATAAATTACCTCGAAAGAGCCGTTTTTTCAAAGAGATTGGTCCAATCGTCTGTTACAAGTCGTAAATTAATCTTAGCGGTAAGAAACAGGTGATAAAATATACTGACAGTAAATCAGAGGGAAGCATATGTATACGTAACTATAAACAAATAATTGTGTGTACGTTAAAGATGAGATTAGTGGGTGTTCGTAATTGGGTGCGCTTATCTGTGACCGACGACGATGAATCAGTAGTTGGTCCATGGCGAGAAGAACAACGTTCCGAAGGAAAAGTAAAGGAAATTCGCCTAAAAACGGTTCGTCGGCGTTACGAACACTTGCACGCACGAGAGCACGATTAAGTTTGCATCAGATATGGCGAAAACGAAAGGTCTTGCGTCGAAGACGCTGATAGCGAAGCGGAATCAAGCGTGTTTGTTAAGTATACAAAAGTATGTAAGTAGGTAAATGTACCGATGGTTGGTTGTGCGTTCTGTTTGTGGAAGACTGCGAAAGGAATGATAAGCAGGATAGATTCGATTCGTTTGAATTTGGTTGCCGAGGGACGGCTACCGATCGGTATAAATTGAACGAACCATCATCGATCGTTAATGGGAACGAGTCGGCCGTGTAGCGAGGCGAGACTTAACGCTGGACGATATGGAGAAGAGCCCGTTGGAAAGAACGCGCCGAAACAAACCCGTCGAGCCGGGAAAGCTGCGACAACTTTTTCTAGCAATTATGGGTAAGTCCTAGAGAGAATCTATTCTCGGCGAGGAAACAAAGGAGAGGGATTGCATTTTAGTAAATGTTGCAACATTGTCGTACGGAATATCGGTTGGTTGGCAATCTCCGATGATGCCGCAGCTACAAAGTGAAGATCCGCCGGTGGACGAAGAGCCGATGACGAACGAGACGGCGTCCTGGTTGACCGGAATCTTGTGCCTGGCGGCTGCTTTAACGACCGTAGCAGTCGGCAAGATAACGGAGAGGTATGGACGGAAAGCGACAGGATGTCTGGCAGCGATACCCTCTTCCCTCGCATGGTTGCTGATGATCTTTGCGACGAAACATTGGCACCTTCTGGTAGCCCGTTTCTTCTCCGGTATGGGCGGCGCGATCACTTTGTTCGTGGTGCCGCGTTACGTCTCCGAGATCTGTTGCGACGCGACACGCGGCATGCTGGCCAGCCTGCTGTCCTTGATCTTGAACGGCGGCATCCTCTTCAGCTATACATTCGGCGCGATGCTGTCGTTCCGCGTGTTCGCGATCGTCGCGTTCGCGGTGCCGGTTCTCTACTTCGTCATCTTTCTCTTTGTTCCGGAGTCGCCTGTGTACTTGGTGCGGCATCATCGGCTCCCCGAAGCCGCGAGGTAACCGAGAAACACGGCTCGGCCGGTGAGAGCGTTCTCGACCGCGCGCGATCTCGCCTCCACTGTTCTATCGTCTCTTGTAGATCTTTGAGATGGTTAAAGGCGGGTCACGAGTCGACGGTGCAACGCGAGATGCTGCGGCTGCAGGTGGAAGCGAAACAAGAGAACGCTTCGGGGAGATCCGTCAGACCATCGGACTTGATACGGGACAAGGCGACGATTAAGGGCCTGCTCATCGCGTTGGGTCTGTTCGGAGGTCAACAGTTGTGTGGAATATTCGCAATGGTAACACTGGGATGATAGACGGGAGGGGAAAACGGATGCGACGCCGTACCCACGTTTCCTCGCTTCGTTTACAGATAAGCTACACGGAAACGATTTTCGGAATATCTGGAAGTTCGTTGTCGCCCAACGCCTCGGCAATCATCGTCGGTGCGATACAAGTGTTTGGCTCGTTCTTGTCCACCTCGCTGATGGAAAGGCTCGGTAGAAGACCGTTGCTTCTAATATCGTGCGCGGGAATGTGCGTCTGTCACTACGCGCTCGGACTCTACTGCTACATGGAATCGCTTCGGTACGACGTTGCCGGTTTCAATTGGATTCCGATCCTGGCGTTGTCCGTCTACGTGATCGTTTATAATTTAGGCCTGGGCCCGGGCCCGTACGTGGTCTCTTCGGAAATACTCAATCGAGACGTGTCCGCTCCGATTGTCACGCTCGGCTTGGTTACCGTTTGGAGTACGGCGTTTTTCGTAGTCAAGTTCTTTCCGAATATGGTCGTTTGGCTGAACATGTACGGATGCTTTTTCTTATTGGGCACCGTGTGCGTCTTCATTTTCCTTTTCGTTTTCACGCTTATTCCAGAAACGAAGGGTCTGCCGCTTCAGATGATCGTGGATCGGTTGAACGGCAAAGTTTCTCGCACTTGCGACGATACGCGATACGTGTCGTCCAGCGACGTTGTTGAAAAACATATGCCGGCGCCCGAGCAAGTTTGACAGAACCGTTTCAACGCGTGCCTGACCGTTCACCAGCTTCGAAGCCAGTTTCGAAGCCGTGCTAGACTCAACGCGACGCGAATTGTCCTTGTATTCGAACTTATATTTCACTATCCTGTTGACCAACTTGACAAACTTGCTCTTCGCTATAGAAATTTTATCGAATATGTTATTTACTTGGTAGGAATGTTTTATTTGTACAAATATAGGCGAATCGAACAATCGTTACTCAACTGAAATCCAATTGAAAATTGTTGCCGCGATAGAAAAGGATCGGCTACTCGAAAACATTATCATCCTGCTTCGAGTTATCGTATGTACATGTACAGACTTGAATGTTACAGAACATTCAATGTTCGTCCGACTTCTAAATAGGATAAACGGGACGAAATAGAATCGGTACTGTTACAACTATCAGTCATCGTTTAATCGTTTTCGTACATTTTTGTTGCCAATTTTTCGTTTTTTGAACCCAGTTGGCTCACGTTCGTCGTCGCTGTCACCCGTCTCGATTCGCGTGATTGTCTTCTCCTTGAACGTTTTCTGCGCAGGAGGTAGTTCTGCTTTTTCGAAGGTGACCAATGGCGCGCTTAGCTTCTGCTGGGGTAATTGTAAGTCTACCGGTGTCGTTTCACTGAAATGCAATGAATATTTAACGAACGAACAGAAGAATGATTGGTGCGCGATTCGAAATGAAAATAGACACTTACATGGTTCGAACGGTTTGCCAAGGACCGTAAGGATGCGGTTTCTCGCACGGTTCGATCGTGTAGTCCCTTCTGTACGTCCGATGTTCTTCCTCGTGTTTACTAGTTTCGGTTGGTTCGTCGAGCCGCTCGTTCCCCGGTCGTTGAACCGAATCGCTCAGTTTCCTCATTTCTTTCCATTTCTCTCGTTCGGCGTTCGCCCGCTTCTCCTCGATGATATCCGCGTTCGCGATCGCTTCTTCCTCTTCCAACTGTTGCAGTAATTGTTCCTGAAGAGTTTGCTCCTTCGCTTCCTCCTCTTGTTCGCTGAACGTCATGTACCCCTCCTCGGGTGGATCCCATACGGACTCTGCGCCAGCCGAAAGCATCGTGTCCGCGTTAATACGAATATATACTCGACAACGAGAGGATCGAAAGACGCACCGTTGGTTTCGATGTGCCAATAATAGGTGTATCCTTCCGGACTTCGCGCCTCGTACCAAAGCTTCCTCACCGGTTTCGCGGGGCGATCTTCTTCTTGCGGTTTCCTTCCTTTCCCCTTGCCCTTGCCCCCTTTACTCTTCCCCTGAGCCTTGTTTTCGGCTTTCGGTTGAATTCTCGGCTGCTGGCACTGTCCTCTGCTACTTCTAGATAAAGTTGGATCGCACGGGTCAATTTCATGAGGAAGCTGAAAGAAATTCCGGCAGCGTCAACGGTTTTCGCGTAAACAGTTTACGCGTGATGTATCTATGTACCTGTTGAGTTTTGCGTTTGAGTCCAGCAGTCGTCTCTGGGGCAATCATTGGCACGCAGTTGCGCGCACTCGACGTCTGAAGTTAACGATACGTTTTAGGAAGAAGTTACTATTTTATCGAATATCATTAGGAAAAGCGTTTACGCTCGCGCGCGCGCGCGCGGGCGTATGTGTGTGGATACGCACGTCTTTCATCTCGATTCTGTTCCTTTTTTCTTCGATGATTCTGTCGGCGGTCATGTCTCTGGTGTTGTTTTCGACGTCTTTCAGGTATGCAGCCATTGCTGCCTGAACATCGAAAACGCGTTTTCGTAAGTTATCTTTATACGGGAGAGAAGAACAATCATGTAAACGTTCGCTTGGAGATTCGCTGAAATGAAACTTACGCTTTCCATCTTTTTAATGTCATCCTCCATCTTTTTATTTTGTTTCGCTTGCTTCGCGCTGTTTTTATGTATCTCTTTGAGTCGTTTGCTGACATTGTCTTTGTGCTTCTTGCCACCTTCGTGAAAGTCGATACTCGGTTTGTTGTCGGCGATCCAACATTTGCAGAAATCGCAAAACTTCCGACCTTGGGATTTCCAATAATCCGCCCTGAAACAACGAATAAGAGTAGTTTTTAAGTTAATGTTTTTCCTCGATCGAACACGGCGATTTCCCGCGAATCGCGCGATTGGGAGCGTTCCGCGCGTTCGACGCGACGAGGAGGAGCGGAGAGGAGAAAGAAGCAGCTCGTAGAGGGAAAAAACAGCTAGTTTCCGCGCGACAATTATCGCAGCGGAGACACTTTCCTCGATATCGCATCTCTAACGAATTAACTGCTAATTAGGCGACGACTCGGCGACCCTCAGACACTCTCGAGCTCGAAAACCGGGGAGCAGCAGCTGCTTTTCTTCCCCTCCGTTATAGATCGCGGGGAACGCGTGGCGCGATAAATCGGCCGAATAGCTGAAAAGAGATGGAGAATCGCGCACCGAAGCAATCACAACTGTCCCAACAACGCCGCATTCTCTATTAATAATAGAGTCTGTATTAATAGCGACACAGTTCTATATATAGGTAAGAGGGAGAGCTGCCTAGGTTACAGACCGATTAGAGGTGCATCGTAAATACGCTTCGACCGACCTCCTCATTGTATCGCGCGTACGCTTCACGATAAACAAGTACATACGCGCGTACTCGCAGGGGAAACCCGAGGGTACAGGGATTGGACGCGTTCGGATGATTCGCCGCGTTGATGGTCGTTTATCCTTCATCGTAATCGTAATCTTCTCCGATGTTTATAGAATTGGCAGCGCGGTGCTCTACAGACAAGTTACGTAGATATGTTGTATGCGCGGCGAAACGCGTCATTGGACAGAGATTCTCCAGATTCTGGAGGCTAGAGGTTGAATCGACTGCCATTCCGGTTACCGCGTGGATCCCAAACTCGGCCCGACACACGAATAGAACCATCGGGAACGATGGTGTTCGTTGCCCATTAACGTCGGTGTATATTTTCGTGCGCGCTTTTTGGCACGTACCTTGAGTCACGATACGCGTTTGCATCTAATGCGAGTGGTATCTTTTCGCAAACCTACCGATTGGACGTCGATGAACAGGTTTACGGGCCGCCGCGATCCATTATTCTCTTATCCGTTTAGAAAATCATTCTCAGTGTCGTGCGGCAGCCTTGAATCGATCGGCCGAACGCAATTCGGATCCGATCGGAGTTACGGTAAAACGGGTTATTATTTTCATCCTCGAGCTTCCGAGGAAAAATAGTATGTATTCTTGTCCGCGGCGGGATACTTCTCGTTTGGCTACGATTCGCGAATTACGGATCAGTTGAGACGAGACGACGGTTTTGTTTGACTTGGCGGGTGGTTGACTGATGGTTTAATGGCACGCGCCGTTCTTCCGTCTGCTCGTTCGCGCGAATGTTTTCCAACGATTTACGCGTTCGGGTTTCGCGTCTGTCGTCATTCTCGATGATTTAACGATCGACCAGCAGGAAATCGATGGAAATCTCTCGCGGCCCGATCACTCGTCGTCTTCCGCCCGAAAATGTACACGTGGACGCGCATACGTGTACCACGGTTCGAAGGCCGATCGTTTCGTAGATCGTTTTATGGTTCCACGGCTACACGAAAAAAAAGAGCGAGTATGTATGTTCTAATTTTACCATGGAGGGTTGTAAACACGTTCCGCCGTTCGGAACCGGCGCTGAAAAGGGGACGCTATCCGTGCGGGCGAACAGTACCGAACGTTTCCTAAGCGAGCCTTCGATACCATCTGGAGAATAGACTAACAGCGAACGCAGCGGATACCGTGAATCGCCGCCGGTGGCGGAACCAAACCTCCTCGGAGCCGAACCGCGTCCACCGATTAAAGACGCTACAACGGACGTAAGTTGTATAGCCCAGACAACCAACCGCGTTCACTCCCTTACGTTCGCGGTAGTTTCGCGTGCTTGTTTAACATTCCGCTTTAATATTCGATTTTCGTTCCGTTGTTTTCTCGAATTCCTTCGGCAGACAGTGGACAGGCTAAGCCCGGAATGTTTGTTATTTCGTTTAGTCTGTGGTTAAAGGGGTTCCCATCCCGAAACTGGAAAGGCAACTTTCCACGTACAAATGAACACTCCCGTTCGAATCTTTTCGATTCTCTCCGAAATCTCCGGTTTCGAGGGAGTTTCGAGGGAGTTTCGAGGGAGTTTCGAGGAGTTTCGAGAAACAAAGAAAGAGACGAGTTTGTATCGCGGCGGACTGATATCGTGGAACGAATTCAATTACAAAACAGCTCGACAAACGATAGTATCGTTGGCACCGAACTTTATCCGAAGCTCGTTTAAGGACAGGCTGCCAAGTCAGTCCGAGCGAGAAATTTCAGAGTCGATGATTTGCATTGCGTCTTGGCTGAGTAAATGCGTCGTCTGCGAGATCGTAAAAAGGATATTTCGAACAATTTCGAATGTTTTACAACCCGTTGAATCGACTCGTAGAGAGATTTTTCAAGCCGAATCGCAGGCTGATTCAGCCGTTTCGCCGTTTAACCGTTTAACCGTTTAACCATTCAAGGTTGGCAAAGGAAACGGGAAAACGTAACGATCTTGTCCCGTCACATTGCGATTCACGCGCGGCTCCGGTGATTTCTGGTTGAGAGGTTAATAATAGAGCAGCCATGTCGTTCTTTGAATCGATGAGAACGCGTTACATGACTGCATTGCGTTCCTACATAGGGGAAGGTCAGTAAACATCTATGTGCCACCTACTAATAATAAATTTCTATAGGACAAAACAGGTACGTTTCCCTTTTGTCGGCAATAAATGCGGCCAACACTGCCGATCGACGTTTCCGTGTTGCACGGAACAGTTCCACGCGAGAATCTGAACATCCTGATCGAAATCCCAATGATTTCTTCTTCGCTGCGAAAGAAAATTGCGAAAGAAAATTCAACCGACCAACCGTTCCCCGCACTTTCGTTCGATGAAAATATTTTATTAACCGTGACATTCTCTTACACGTCTTACGTATATTGTACGCATCTACGAATACGCAACGTTCTCCGCAAAGATATAGACTAGCTAACAGAATAACGGATATTTGGTAACACTGACTAGACACTCGACTAGACTTAACTAAATTGGTCCTTGGAAGTAACTACGCGATTCGCAAAATCGATCGTAACCAGTTACAAAACGCCCGAGAAAAAAGTCAGGCGGCAATCCTGTGTACACAACAGGCATCGTTCCTAAATAATTCAACCATTCGACCGTTTCTTTTTTTTTCATTAATGGCAACGACTTTCCTTGGCTAAATTCAACGAGAAACGTGAAATACCTAGCGTAAACTAACGTACGAGAAACAACGAACGATTCACAACAGAAAAGTGGGTCAACGGAGAAATAATCGCTCTTGGAACGATCGGGATTTCGCGGTATCTATTCGAATTTGTTGGAATAAGCGTTTCACTTTTCCTCGATGTTTCGAATAACGTTTCGAATAACGTTTCGAATAACGTTTCGCGACAAATACCTCTAACAAACCGTCATTGTTATGGAGTAAGTGTCACACGCTCGTTCATAATCAGTGTCGCTCGCTTACTTGCGCGCGCGCGCATACAGGCAGACAGACGGCAAGCAAACAGACGGAGAAAGAGAGAGAAAGAGATAGAGAGAGATAGAGCGCTCGTATGTTGATAAAAATCTTACAGCGTCTTATAGTTGTTTTACCGACGCGTCTTGGACCCTCGACACTTTCATCTTAATCTACATTTTACACGATATTATTGGTTATTTACTTTATTCGGCAATACGGCAGGTGCGGAAGTTGCAAGGAAAATTGAACCGTTCAAACGAATCGATCCCGAGGAATTAGAATATCGACTAGACAAATGTTCAGAAGAGAGATCGAGACGGATCGCTGTCCGCGATTCGTCGGGTCATCTTGATAGCGGTACAATCGTGCGGTGTAAACGTGTAAATTGAATTAGCGTTGACAATTGCAACGATCGGCGGCTACCGGTTTTTACAATGGATTTGCAGAGCGAACAAGCTTCGTACAGGTTTCGTGGAAACTACTGAGGTATTGTCGAGCGAAGGCTGATTAACTCGTAACTACCTGCGAAGACATAAGGATTCGCGTTAATCTTTGCGGGAGGTTGTTTACGTTGCAAGACTCTGCGGTTGCCGCGTGATCCGTTGAAAGATAGGTGTCCAAGTACTTGCATATTTCGCTAGCTAAGTAATCGACGTCGCGTCGTCGAACGCGTATAGTACCACGGATGGATTTCATTGGCAGTCACGAGGATAGAATACGCGCGAGGTAACGTAACGAGCAGTTTTCCTAACGCGAATCGCCTATTTCGTGGAAAGGATAAATTACAAGCGCGATAATCGCAAAGGCTGCGGATTTTCGTTTGCCAATGCCATCAGTCTAAAATCAGGTACTCGCAGAACGTACACTACTGTGACACAAACGTTACAGCTAGTCCGTAAGCGTCGATGATCTATAGACGCGCGTACAAAATGGCTAAGCTGGCGCATACATTCGAATACAAGGCGAACAATGGGCCGTTGCGATACGGCAGAGGGAAGTATCGAAAGTAATGCGCGAAAAGAAAGGTTCGTCATCCGGAGGGCAACCTCTTCTGCTTGGTCAGTTCCAGGAGGATCGGGTAATGGAGGTCCGGACAATACTCCTGGCTGTGGTCCAGCATCTCCAGATGTCTCGACCAAACCTTGTTGTCGTAACGATCAATCTGTCGCGCTAGAAAGCCTCGTTTCGCGGCCGCTTCCGCGAATTTTTGAAAGGTCGTGCCGCGCCTGGGCGCCATTACCAGAGCTAGGCCATCGTTCGCCAGCCAGCCGAAAATCGTTTCCACCAGATCCGAGCGAACCTCGTCGAAGAACAGACAGTCCGCGCATAGGATCACGTCGTACAATTTCTCCGGGACATTCGCTGCCTCGCCGTCTCCCGTCGTCCAGCTCTACGTAAAAATGCAATTCAGAAACTTGTCGATACATTCCGTTTTCCATTTCTCATGTTCCCTGTCCTTTAGTTTCCGTACTCCGTATTCCGTTTTCCGTCTTCCGCGACGCGTCCAAGTGACAAACGAAGTACTGGAAGCGTCACGGTATTGGTCGGTTGGCAACTCGTTTCGATATCGCGTCTCACCGTGAAACGCGGGAAACGCGGGAAACGCGGGAAACGCGGAAAACGAGAAGGAAATCTAGAGGGTCGATAAATTGCCGCGCGAATATGCTTTGGACGCGATCGAAGCGGATTTCGTGCACGCTTCCGACATAAAAATCACCTTGATTCGAAGGCCCATGGGGTTCGCGTAAGGGAACGCTCGGGCCGATCTAGCCGCCCTGATCGCTCTGGCAGCTTTGCTCCATCGAAGGACGCGGCACTCGACGAAATCGGCCATCTCGTTCCTAGCGACGATGCGACGAACGTTCTCCACGCTGGTCGCGTTGCCATCCGTGAGCGCGACGCTGCTCGGACCGCAGTACTTGGCAGCGATCACGCCTGCCAAGCAGCTCATGCCGCCCCCGAGCTCGAGGACTCTTCGGTTCCGACAGATCTCGCGGTTCTTCAGCAGATAATAGGCCAAGCATTCCTCCGAAGGCCAGACGCAAACGTTCCCGGTGTTGTTGAAGCCGATCAGTTCGTTCGCCGTGAAACTCTTCTTTATCCAACGGATCTGCACCTCGAACGTCTTGTTCTCCAAAATGGCCGAGTACTCGTACCACGCGGAGCTCGAGTCTTCAGACGCGTTCTCCAGCCGGACGGTCGCGAGCAGGCCGAAGCTGGTGAAACGGCGAACAGACACGTCCTCCTCTCCGTCCGTGAACACCGATCCTCGCGAACCGATCAACGTCTTCGCTAAGATACGCCATCTGCTCTGCGCGGTGTTCCTCCGCCTCGGCTCCTTCCCTTCGCGGCTCGACGTCTCGCGTCGCGGGACATTTGTGTCGGCCATATTCTTCTCGGTTTCGCGAAAATCAACGATTAGATCCGCGATTCGACGATCAAGAGCAGCGACCGGAACTCCATCCGAACCACTCGTTACTCCTCGCGATCGCCAGTCGCCGGGGAAACCTTTCCCATGCTCGAACCGATCTAGCGGCGAACCCTTCTCGAGGATACCCGACGATAAACATGTGTATCATCGAACGCCGGCGAGCTCCTTTCCAAAGGATAAACCTCGTGGTCCGGCTATGCGATGCGTCGGGCCATGTTCAATGTTACTTTTCGGACGAATCAAACGATACGAAACAAATCAAAGGGACGAGAAAAGAGAGAAGAAGAGAAGAAGAACGTAAGAAAAGAAAAGAAAAGAAAAGAAAAGAAAAGAAAAAAGAAAAGAAAAGAAAAGAAAGGGAAAGAAAGGGAAAGAAACGAAAAGACGGAACGCGTTCGAGGAGATGAAAAGAATCCCCGATCGCAACCTCAGGAGCGGCTCTCCCACGCTATGGTACAATGAAACCGAACAGAGGAGCGGGTCGACACTAAAAGACCGAGGCCGACGCGGCCTCTAACTCGCGCCACGCGGATGTCGAGCGTTGAACGGGTCCGATCAGCGCCTGCGCGCGTGTCTTTCTATGTCCTGCACGCATACACGCGCCAAACTAGATTGTACGTATACCCGTTTACCCCTTCGCCTACACCCCTGCCGGAAACGGGTGGAAACCGCAAACCCTTTGCGCTCCTGGTTTCCGCTTCCTCGGTCATCCCCGTCAGTCTCTCGAAGACGGGGTACTAGCAATGGAACACGGATATCGCGTCGAACGACCGCATCGGTTCCATTGCGAGTTCTAGGCGATAACAAACCGCGTTTAGCTTTCCCGATTTCGATTCTTCTCGCGCGTTTCCAATCCCTCTTCTTACATTCTTGCATTCCTACCTACGTCGCGTGTGGTATTTTGGAAAATCCAAACGCCATTTCGTTCGATGCCCGAAAACGAGATTATCGGCCGTTTGCAACCGAAAGAAACGACCAGAGGATCGCGCGATAGACGTACCAGAAATCATGCCAAAGTATTTAATCCGGAAGAACGAGTCGTGCCAAATTGCTCGATACCAAGGATCGTAACGCAATCGAGAGAATGCTCCGTCGCGATCCTCGGTTTCCCTGCTTTCGAGTCCCGATTTGCGGAAAAAATAAGAACATTTCGATTCCTAAAACACGTTGATTCGGTATCGGTATCTACACGCTATCAACTTGAAATTCTTTGACACAAATAGAATTTGGTGACGGTAATACACACAATTTCAGTTGGAGCGTGAAGCCGATAGTCTGCGCTTGCCAGTGCAGATATAAATATTTCCATTTCTCGCGAAATGCGTGCCATTTAGTTACTGGCAAAGGAAACAATCAATTTTTCGATAAATACTTCTGCCGTTTGTTACGTTCCCAATAATCTCGGAGAGAAATATTTACGTTCGCCCACCGAGATCAGAATTTAACCGACAGCTTCGTTTCGACCGGAATCTACGAGCTGCCTCGATTCCGATGCCAAATTAACCAAATTAGTCATTGTAAACAACCGAGACGTAATATCGACCATTGATCATCATCGTTCCGCGATAATTTACTGTTGCAACGAGTGTGTTTCGTATAAGTCGATACGCGTTCGAAATGATTCTTATTTTTAAGTGATATTTTTTGGAGCATCTTTTGTTAGGTGCCCACTTACATGTACACGTGTGCTTGCGTGTACATTTGGGTCTGTATATAATACACACATAAATACGGAATTGCCTACAGAATCGATTCTGACTATGGTAAATATTACTTGAAAGGTGTCACAGAGGATATGTCGAAGAAAAATTCCACTTACATGTTTGACAATTTTTCGATGAATTTCTGTTGTCTTTATTGGTAGAGAATGTATGAACGCTCTTCTCCAACACCACTTGGGAAATCTAACCTCAAACGAACAAAATCGCTTTTAACTGAAGTATTTTCACGACAATACACTCGACGCTAACTGCCTCGACTCGGATACACGTGTTAACTACAGCAACAACTTCTCATGGTAAACGTGAAATGAAATTTACGCACTTTTTACGATTAGTAAATACCAGTTATCTCGACGATGCGCAAGTACACAACAATCTAAACAGCTGATAGTAAACTGTACGTAAACGATAAACTAGCGCAATCTGGTAGGAATGAACGGAACCGTGTAGCTACGAGAACACGCAGAATGCGTCAACTCGAAGAGGACGGATCGAATCGATTTTACGTTAAGATGGTAACGCGCGCGTTGTGATACTTCCGTTGAAAAATGTTAGTATTCGAAGATTATAATTATTTTCATTCGTCTAATTATTCTTTCGTCGGATGTGACGATGTTTATTCGGCTCGATGCGGCTGTCGTCGACGTGCAGTAGATCGTAGACGACATAAAAGGATCAAGGAAACTCGGTGTTCTTCGCTCGCTAACCAATAAAACGTTTTATACTTTAGCTTGTTAAGGGTATCAAACTCGCTTCTTATGACGTAAATAAGTATCTCAAATGTTATACGATGAGTAAGGCAAGAGTGGGGTCGGAATATATTCCGTTAGTGGAAGAGGACATGTCGAAAGCGCGTGTTGTTTTACCTTTTGCTAAATTAGCATGGTTCACTGTCTCTTTACCGTTCTTGGCATTTACCTTTTGCGTCATGTGGTCTGTTATATACAATTTCGAGCATTCCACCTCCACTCATTGTAAGGTATGTTACTTATTCTCTGGCAGTTCTGCTTGTTTCCACATTCTTATTATTCATTACGATTAATTACATTATGCGTGTATATGTGTGTGTGTGTGTGCGTGTGCGCGACATGGATACATGAGATTCAATTTTGTACTAGGTGTATAATTTTTTACCATCCGTATCAGCAGCGATTGGACATTACAGACCACAGAGAGATGTATGGAAAATTGCGATTGCTGTGCAAGCAGTGATAAGAGTTTTAGTGTTAGTTATGTATTGCCGTTATTACAAAGAACATATTTATAAATGGGCACAAAGTATATGTAACATTGCAATTGTTACGTATACCGTTGAAAACATATCCCTAGTTACTTTAAGCTTTTGGACGTCCGATGAAAATTATGGTATGTATATAAATATCCATGAATGCACGGGTTTGATGGATAGTCAAAGGAACAAAGTAAAGTAACACGTATTTTTCTTACAGCCTTCCACAAATTATCTTTTATAACATTTTTGATAATGTCTTTTATTCATATGGTTGTAACATATTTTATTATGAAAAATTGTCGTAACGTTACAAGAGAATCATCGGAAACTGCTTCCATGAAATGGAAATGGAGAGCAATGGTGTTAAATGTGCTGTCTACAATATGTGCATGTTATTTTTTCTATAGGCATAATAGATATTGCGAGCCTCTAGGTAAGTCCTGCAGTTTAGTTAAAACGAAATGAAACCGGATAACGAATCGTTCGCATTATTTCAGTCTATTCCATGTTTGCGTTAAGCGAATATGGAGTTGTCCTTTCAAATATGGGATATCATTCGACTGCTGCTTGGGATTTTGCAAATTCGCGTCTTATGATATCGGGGACTGGATTTCGAATCATTTAATGCGGTATTCTTACAATCGTACAGTACGAACAGAGATTTTCTTCGTTTTATTTCTGTATCCCGAAGTACAAAGATTTGTGTGTATAATCGTGTAACAAGAGATATACATATGTACATACATGTAACATACATACACGTACACGTACACATGCGCATAAATCAGTGATAAATAATAAATGAATCTATCGTCATATCAAAACAACATGCATTACGAGTAGAAAATTCTTTGGGATGGTTAAAATTGAAAATCAGTTTCTAGTTTATCGGCAATATGCTTCGCGATTGCCATGGAGCTAGTAGCGGCGGGGGAAGGTGCATTCCGGCAATGAATTACTCTACTGCCGATACTGCCTTTTCCAACGTCAAAAACGAAATCGTCCACTAGTTTTCCGTTGTTGTCCAATGCCTGAGCCCTAACACCCGCTGGTCCTCTGCATGTAACGAACAAGATGCAACACGTGAGACGGATGTACCTCGGCGCGAAGCCGCAAACTGAACTTGAAGATATCATTGTGTTTACCTCTTGACATCTTTGACGGTTACTTGAGGAATAAATTTTTGCAAGTCCGACACCGCTAGCGAGTAAAAGATAGATTTGATCATTTCCTTGCACCCGGGTATAAAGTATCGGAAGCACAGTTTGTATAATCCAGGGAATTTCGCCATTTCTATACAATCCTTTATGTTTATGTCACGCCATCTGAAAATATATAGAAAATCTAGAAAATCGTGAGTTGCCGTGATGTTGAAATATGTTCAACGTATGGTACGGTGGTTCGATAAAACGCACCGATAACCCTCCCTGGCAAATGCTAAGACAGCGTTCGGACCAAGCCATATATCACCGTTCACCCTGGGCGTGAAATGAACGCCCAGAAATGGAAATCTGGGATCCGGTACAGGATATATATTGGTCGTGCATAAATGTTTTTTCTTTTCGCTCAGTAACAGATACTCGCCACGAAACGGTACGATTCGTGGGCTCCGATCGCAACCCGTCATCACGGCTAAACGATCGGAGTGCAGACCGGCGCAGGTCAACACGTGTTTCGTTGCTAAACACTGTAAACGAAGTGAAGAACAACGAGGAAAGAAGAGAAAGATAATAGAGTAAGAAAGAAAAAGGAGAGACTTACTTTCCGCTTGGATTGTACCGAAATGGGAACCAATTCATTTTCATCGTGAGATTCTGCCATTTCCGCGAAACCGGTTACCTCGAAATTTAAAAATATTTGACCGCCCATCTTCTGGAAATCTTCGGCGAAACGCTTACAGACCACGGCCCAATCGACTATACCCGTCCAAGGCGACCACAGTGCTTTTTCTCCCTGTGCAATGTACGTGTATGTTTTATCGAGAGAGAGAGGAACGAAGAGAAAGAGAGTTCTGCTTCTTACGCTAAGGCAACATTAACTTTAACGTTCATTTACTCGACACTTAGGCTCGTATTTCGGTATGCAATCTTTGTCGACCAGTTCAAGATCCGGTACGTTGTTCTTCGTTCCTCGATCGAACAGATCGTCTATCCTTTTAACCTGCTCTTTGTTCTGAGCAACGATCAATTTGCCAACCTTGTTGTGGGGAATGTTGTGCTTGCAAAGATATTCGTACGACAGTTTCAAACCTTCCACGCATAGTTTTGCCTGTAACGATTTCCTGCCGGATCAAGAATCTCTTAACGAAGTTAAGTTGTTCTAATATCCGGTCAACGAATTCCATATTATTTCAAGTAATTTCAGAGCTATCGAAAGAAAAGGTCAGCCTAAAAAATACGTAATTGTTTTTGTTTCTGTTTACTTTCATGCTGCCGGGGGTATAATAAATGCCGGCATGTACAACTCCGCTATTATGTCCTGTCTGATGCATCGCCAAAGCACTTTCTTTCTCAACTATCGCCATCTTTAGATTCGGGTGTCGTATCATCATTTCCCGGGCAGTGGCACATCCAACGATGCCACCGCCTACGATTACCAGGTCGAACGTGCCGCATGAGTCACTGCTGAAAATTGTACGTTATACGAATTATCAATGTACGAGCTTTTCGATCCAAGAGGCGCCAGATAAAACCGTTTCTTCGAGATAAAGCACGAGCTATCATGAAGACGGCGGTCAGCTAACCTGGAAAACGATCCGTAACGTCGTACGAGGGAAAATTGTTGGAACACGATTCTTTTCGTCAACGATGCAGACATGATTGTTTTCATTTTGTGATTGGTCACATGGAATTTGGAAACGACGAATTTCTAAAGGGGGAAAAAAAATGAAAAGTTATTTCCTAAGAAATCGGACAAAGCGGCGGTATCGATCTCGCGCGTTAACCCTAAGGCATCGACACGCGAGACATCTTTTCGATCGGTATTTAATCGATAACAAAGATCACGTCGATTCGAGTAGCGATATATTCCGATCATTTGTACATGTACGGTTTCGATCGAATGTCGTAACGCGTCGCGTGCACGTGGACTTGGCTATGTTATTATCCGACAAAGACATCACGCGTGTTATTTCGTTAATTATATTAGAACGTCGATCAAAGCCGAGCCACCGTTACATTTTAAATGCAATGAAATTTGATGAAATTCGAGTGACTACAGTCTCTAGACGTCCCTGTTCCGTGTATCCGGTATATCGCGTACACGTTAATTTTCAAAAAGTTCCATCGCAAGATCAATCGTAAGTTTATGTTACATAATATGATAATACAATGGAACATGCGACCGCTCGGATCTCGCAATAGAAGCTTTACGAGCAACCTGACAAAATGATCGGACAAACGATACCAGGAGACACGACGGTACGCTTACCTTTAAAATCTTCTAGCCAATGTCATCACATATAATTTTCTGTAAAAAATTGAGGTCACTACCGCAGCTCCTCGAGTGATCGAAGCAGAGCCGAATGAAACGATTTTTCGCTTCTACGAAGCTGCCCGATAAAATCGCATCGCGTAGTATGTGGCGCCTCCACATTTGTCATTCGATGTGTCCAACGTATTAGAGAAGGAGATGAAATATCACGAATAACCGACTGTTTCCTTTTGATATTCTAATAACAGAATATATCATTTTTACGAGTATATCCGTATTGTTTCGCTGGTAAGAATTTGTTTGTACTATTTGTACGGAATATCGGTTTCGCGAAAGGATAACAGTGGCGTGCGACACGGGCGTAAGATTCGAGGATAATCAGGAAAACGCAATTGCGCGGAGGGTACCGTGTTTATGGCGGTGGACCGGTGGAGAGCGAGGCCGGCCCTGAACCGCGGTGCGCGAGTACGATGCGCAACAGCAATACGGCGCCTAGTGTCAGTCAACCCGTTGACGGCTTGTTGCGTGCGTCGTTTTTACGAGTGCGCTCGTCCTGGCACGGCCAGCACCGAGAGATATTTCGAACGAAACGGAAGGAAACGGTGAATTCGGTGAATATTCGAGCTCGAGGTACCGCCGCGCGAGTGCCGGTACGTGTTCGACGCGAGATTTCGTAGAAACGCGAAGGGAACAGCAGCAGTAGCCCACCGTCGATGCGTCCCTCGACGTAGACGCGCGACATCGAAAAATGTAGACTGGTTTTTTGACAGGAATCGGAGATGTGTATACGATCGACGGGCAAGACCGATGATAATCGTGCCGGAAGATCGTTCGCAGGTTAAATCGGAGCGGTGACGTCGATCGGTCGATCGTTCGAGGTAAAAGGATACGTTCGAATGGGATGTCGTGACCGACGAATCCGCACGCCATCGCGACAAGCCTCCGTGCCCTCGGTCGTCGGTCGTCGGACGTCGGACGTCGGTCGTCGGGGTGGTTGGCTGCGAGCGAAGACGATCGACTCGGACTTTGTTCTTTCGAGCGCGCTTCTCGAAGATCGTTGCGCGCAGAGGATGGACGCGGAAAGAAAGCCGTAGGTGGGAGTTGCAACGTTGACGAAGCTCGAGGCGGAAACCAGGGGAGAGATCGATCGGTCGTCGGTGGGTAACCCGCGTCGATCTTTGACACCGAGGAAAAAGGAGGGCCGTCGTCGCGAGTAGCCGAGAGAGCGAGCAGACGGGCGAGAGCGGCGGACGGTCGGACGGGGCGAAGGGCTAGGAGGAGTGGCTGCTGCTCTCGACGTGGCGGACGAGTCGACGGAAGAGAATGGAGGACGAATTACGATGCCCTTGTTGCAAGGAACTGTTCGTGGAACCGGTGCTGCTGCCCTGCTGGCACGCTCTTTGTCTGTCGTGCGCGGTGAACCTGCAGGCGGCGCCGGACTCGCCGCCGGAGTCGACGACCGACTCGTCGAACGCGCCCGGCTCCGACCAGGAGGCGGACAAGCTCTCGATTCTCTCCGAGACGGACTCCGGCGTGGTCTGCAGCAGCACCTCGACGAGCTCGCGGCCCGGCAGCTACGTCGGCACGCCGGGGAACGGCGGCTTCCCGCCGTCGGGCGGCACCTTGTGCCTCTCCTGCCCCGTCTGCCAAAAGACTGTTTACTTCGATGAGGGGGGCGCGCACAACCTGCCCAAGTACAGGGCGATGCAGCGGATCGTCGACAAGTACCACGAGTCCAGGAACACGAAAATGCAGTGTCAGATGTGCGAGGGCGAGCCGCGGGACGCGACCGTTGCCTGCGAGCAGTGCGAGGTCGGTCCCCTGCCATCTATATCGCCCTTCCCATCCATTTCTCTCGGCGTGGTCTCTCGGTATCCTCGAACCTCCACGGAATCGAATATCGCGAGCCACTACGCTCAGCTGGCCGTTCCCCCGCGATCGGATCGGCGAATCGGCCGGACCAGTTCGGTAGGCGGTTCGCTCGACGAGACGATCGTGTTTCCATTGTCGCGTCGGTCGCGTTCGCTTTGCTCGAAGCCGCCGGGTTCGATGCACTGCACACCAAAGATATATATCGGTTGGCGATTTACGAACGATCAACAGGCTCGTTGTCGCGCGATGCACGTGTTTCCCTCTCGATCGGAGCGGGCCGCGGGACGGGGACGGTGACGGGGACGGGGACGGGGACGAGAACGGTCCGAGGGAAATCGAACGAGGAGGGAGGCGACGACGCGTCATCGATTCGAAAGATGGTATACGCGGGCTCGTTTTAGGTGCTGTACTGCGACGGCTGCAGGGAATCCTGTCATCCGAAGAGGGGACCGCTGGCGGCTCACAATCTGGGCCCACCTCGGGGCAGCTGGCAGTCGAACGGAACCAAAGGATCCCGAGGCTCGAGCGCCGAGCCGACACCGGTCTGCAACGACCACAACGGCGAGCCTTTAACCCTCTACTGTGCCCTCTGCAAAATCGCGATATGTGCTCTGTGCCTTCGAGAACGACACGCGGCGCATTCCCACGACGTCCTACCGTTGGCCGCTGCCTGTAAAGCGCAAAAGGTACGTACACGTCGCAGCTTCGCTCTACCCGAATCGGCTCGCGAACGCGAATTAGGTCTGGGTCGTCCGGAGAACGAACGAGAAATCGATTCGCGACCTTGACGCGAAACTGGTTCCAGCGTTGGTCCCTGGACGGAGAACTCGATCGAGCTGTCCGTTTTCGCGTTCGAACTGTTGCTTCGAACTCTCTCGGCTCGATTCGTACGGGAGCACGGGGAGAATCGGGAGAATGGGAAGAATAGGTCGCGGAGACCAGCACCCCGTCGCTTCGGAATATCTCGCGGCGCGGAACAAGGTTCGAAGGCGATAGAACCTATCGCGCTATATACTGCGCCGGTGCGGGTTACTCGAGGAAAAAACCGGAAGCGGAACGTAGCCGTGGGCAATGCTCGCGCGTAGGTACGCTGCCCCGGAGGATGGAAGGACGTACGGTCGCAGAGAAGTTCGACGCGACGCGAACACGAGGAGGATCTCCCTCGAAAATTGTTCCTGCTCGTTTTTTGTTCTCGTTGAAAATTACTCGCGAGTCGGAGGGTGCATCGCCCCTATTGTACCCTATTTTCCGATGAAAGTGGTCGACGCGACGATTACAAAGAACGAAAACCATCGCGTCCACGTGGCCCAGACTGGCACACGCTCGAGAGCACCAGCGAAAATTGGAGCGTGCGCGCCGTTCGACGAGTGTCCTTATTATCGTGCTTTGTCTCCCCGTTCGAATCGTTCGGTAGCGAGCTTTCCCTCCATCCTCGTTTCCCCGTTTCCCCGTTTCCCCGTTTCTTCGAGTTCTCGAGTTCTCGAACGTCGTTTTCATCGATAACACCTTGAAACTCGGCGCATTTTCACCTATAGTTTTTCGGTACCGCGACCCGAGTGTTTAAAGCACGCGTGACCGTTAACGCGTATCGTTCGGTTCGAATCGGAGCCGAATCCGTCCGACCGCCGCGAGGGAATCGCGAGACTTTGTAGATAGGCTGTACCATTAGGTTCCGTAAATGGAAACTTGCTGGAAAATGGCGTCGGTCCGGGTACGACGCGGAACACCTTTCGTATGCACGAGCGACGCTCGTTGGCCGACTCGCTCGGGCAACCGGCGAAAGGAACGTGGAACTCGAAAGGATACGCTCGGAGGGGACGAACGTCTTCGTTGATCCCTCTCCCGTCTTCTCTAGTATTTTTTCCTCCTCTTTCGCGTTGCGATATCGCTCGACGAACCATCTCGGCGCGAACTCGTTGGAAATTTCCGATTCGAATCGTCCATCGAACGATCCATCCGCCTAGCCGGTCTCCAATATTCGTAGTTACCGCGACCTTGGCGGATCGTATACCGCGATTCGAGGCTACGATAGCGTCGGTCCGACGCGGCATAGCTTTCCGCGTGTTTATTCGCATCGTTGGGCGCCAAGGATCTTCCGAGGCGTTGCGAATTTCTCGAAAAGCCGCGTCTTTTTCCGCCGGGAATCTCAACGAAGAAAATAGGAAATGTTCGTGAATGATCTTAGCGTCGAGGAAAATGATTATCGAAGCGGGAGTAAATCATAGTGGCTCGGGTAGAAGCAAAGCGACGCGCGAACGGCGATGCCGGTTGGTTGGCAGTCGCAACGGGTCTCGTTCTCCTTCCGATTCTCCTTCTGCTTCTCATTCCCGTTCTCATTCTCGTTCTCTCTCTCCAGTGATCTTGCACCCGATTACGCTACGCGACGCGCATACGCGATACTAGAGTTATGGTGAAAAATATAGGAGAGGAGAAACGGCGCGGTGACGCGGGAACCTGAAAACGAAAATAGCTTTTGAAACAGTGCCAGCCTCTGATGCCTCGTACGCGTACGAGTAAGCTCGTGCTCTCGCTCGCGCTCCCGCTCCCGCTCCCGCTCGTGCTGATAAATAAACAAAAAGCGTGGCTCGCTCATTCGCGAACCCACGATTGCGCCAAGGGTGGAAGAGTGGCGGAGTGCACGCGAATTCGCGTTCGCTTACCGCCGTGTAAACGAGAGACAAGGGGACATCGAACTTTGGAATAATTCATCCTGTTTAGAATGCTGGTCGCTCGTTGCGGCCGGTTGCTCGAACGGAAAGAGATCGCGAGGAAGAGGGAAACGCGCTCGCGACAGTCGGACGAGTCGGTGGGCTTCGAAATAGAAGAAATAGAGGGAACGGAAGAAACGGCGGAAACAAGAACAGAAACAGTCCTCGAGCAGGTCGGCTAATCTACGATCGTGGAGAATCGTGTGCAGGCAACTATGCTGAATTCGTTGCTGGAACGATCGCGCCGGTCGCGCCGGTCGCGTCGCTCGAAACAGACACACGCATATCGATACGATATCTGGGATATTTATGAGGGCTGCTCGGTGTATTAAGTAAAAACCTTAAGCCTGCATGCAGTCAGGCTGATGGAGGGCGTAAAGCGAGAGCGCGTTACATAGTGCCGCGACGCACGATACATGTCGTGACGTTTTCGCTATCAGCCGCACTCTCTCTCTCTCTCTCTCTCTCTCTCTCTCTCTTCTGCTGGCGTTTCGTCTCCCCTCTGCTTCTTCTTCTATCCTTCGCTTCCCTTCCCTTCGCTTCCCCAGCCCTTCCCGTCCGCTCGTGTAATTTCGTTTCGAATTTAACAGTGGAAAATGGATCGTGCTCCAGTCGATAATTCCACCCTTCTTTCTTGTTCGTGGGTTCACGGTGGGTCTCTGCCCATCGTGAGTCGTCCCAGCGAGAACACTGGCGTATACAACGAACACTGGAGTTAGTGTATAGATTATAATCTATGCGAACGTCTCCGAAACGACGGACCGCTAGAATTCGAGTGGAGATCGGTTCCGTTCGTTGGTAACGGGTTCTACGCCAGTGGGTTTTCGTACAGGGACGCGAAGCGGAAAGAAGGGTAGCGCAGAGCGATTCGTCTTCTCGTGCAGGCTTCGCGTTTCGAGCTAGACGCCGCTCGTACGCGGGCCGTTATATTCGAAAGGATATCGACGAACGAAACGTCGCGACCCGACGCGACTCTCGATCTATTTCCAGCGAAAGAAACGCAGCGCTAGGGTTCGAGGGCTCGACTCGTCGAAAATCATTCGATTCGTCTTCCTTGGACGATTCGCTGGAATCACCGTGGACTATCCTTTCGTCCGACGAGAGCGAGTGGTCGCTAGTTTGTTTCCGTCTTCCCTTTCATCTAAAAATATCGAGCAGGACAGCCCGCGAATCTTTTGCCTTCCGATGCGAAAATTTCCGACTGTCGCAGCTGTCGTCGCAACGTCGCGTCGTTTCCTTTCTCGTTCTGTCGGCTTATCGCGGCGAGTTTTGTCGATCGGGTTCTAAACGGAGCTTCGGTTCGTCGAAACTCGACGACTCGATAAACTCGAGAAACATCGTCCTGCTGGAACGAATGCGCGGAGGGTTGGCTCGCTCGCTTCCGAACCGTATCGATCGGTTCGTTATTTTTCACCGTTTTGTACCGGGGCATCGACGGACGTCAACGGTCGTCGACTGCCGTAAAGTCGTCGACGGTCATCGGAAATCTCTACGCGGTGCACGAAACGCGGAACGTGCAACTCGTTTCGCGTCGACAGTCGGTCGTTCGTAATTACAGCTGTCCCGTCGTAGGTGGAACGCGCGTCGCGAATTATGAAAGGCAGAGAGAGAGAGAGAGAGAGAGAGAGAGAGAGAGAG